TTCTGGCTTAACTTTTGTGTTTCCGCGTGGAATGTGCTGCTGTCGACAACTTGCAACTGTTCACCGTTCACCTGAACTTGAACCTGGTGCGTGTTTGTCCTTGGTAGCAGAGCGTTCTTGGTTTCTTCTTGAGACACTCTCGGATTTTTGCGCGTCACTGGGCCACACGGTAGCAATGAGCACCAATGTCCAATTCCTATGTGACCAGATGAGCAAGTCATGAAAATTCGGCTCCAATTGAGCGCTTGGTGGCTCCAACCATGGATTGAGCTGCAGACACCGCAGTGGCATCACTGCGTCATGTTTTGAAGACGGCTGTGGAATTGCTCACAAGTTTACCTGTGCAGGGTCGCTAGCAGGAGCTGCATTGTGAGGGTATGTGGGTTCCAAAATGTGCCGACCACGGCGAAAATTGCTATGTGAGGGCGTGCAACGGCCTGAGCGCCCAGATAGTTGGTTTTAGGATGATGTCCATCGGGGAACATTGCTGGGTAGTGCCTGAGCACGCTTTGCATCTGACCAAGCCGCCTTAGGTTGCTTTCTTTGCATGTGCAGAATTCATCTCGCGACTCTTGTACTCGAGTACTCATCAATCAATCAACGCCCTAAACCCTAAACCCTAAAACTCTAAACCCTAAACCCTAAACTTGAGGACCAGAGGCCATTAACCCCGAACTTTCAGTATACTTTAGGTGGACCCCCACCCAGTAATAGTGACTATAAGGGATAATACGGATTATATTAGGGTCCTCTTATATTCTTATTATACCACTATTACAGGGTGGGGGGGGTCCTCCTAAAGTATACTGTCTCCATTACCCTTTGTGGGGGTTCGCTGATACGAGTATCAGATCTCCCTGTGTTGCTGAGGCTGCAAAGGGTCCAAGCTAAGTACCAACAAAGTATATGCTTCGCGCCCAAGCGGGCTCCTATCTTGATTTTTGGTTTTTAAGCTTATTTCATGTAAGCTCGTGGGCGTGGCGCTGCTGAAGATGATCCCAGATGGAACCAGAGGCGCTCCCAAAACCAGTCGAGCAGAGGGACGCCGCTGCTGGATGCCCTCAAGAAGCAAGATGAGACGCTCGACCAGGAGAAGCAAGCCTGTGCGAACGTGGAGCGTGAGCTGGAGAGCAGGCTAACAATGCCAAGAACGAGGCGTGCTGCATGTCTTACCCATGTTTTGCAAATGCAAAGCTACGAGGGCTGGTTGTCAGCGATGCTTTTTGCTAGCCGACACTGTCTAGGGTTCATAGGGCTAGCTTGGAAGTTTCTTTGAGACCACAAGATATTGACTCAGGGTCCCTTCTGGTACCTTTGCGCGGTGTAGTCCGTTCTGGCATTATCAGGACCTGCCGCAGTAGAGTCTCATGTTCCTTAGCTGTATAATGCATAATTGGCACTCAGGGCCCAAGTATCTAAGCAATGCCTAATTCTGCGCCCTGAATGGCTTCTGGCGCCTAATTTAGGGTCTAGTGTTTAGGGTTTAGGGTCGGAGCCTCTCAGTTACGGTTAGTACTCTTAATCCTGCCTGCCTTGGGGTTTGTAGGGCTGTAAAGGACGAGTAGATGGAGGTCATGTGCGATTGTGGGTATTCACCACATGGTGGCTGTAGCTCACCCCATTCAAATCTGCCAGTCCTCCCATCGTCCATACGCAGGCATTTCTCCTTAACTTTCCACCCATGGGCATTTCCACAGAAATTGCCTTTTCTGGGTGGTTCCCTAGACCCTAAACCCTAAACCCAAATTTGTGTGCATGGTGGCTCCCGGACTCCCGGTTTAGGATTGCAGGTTTAGGGATGAGGGTTTAGGGATTAGGGTTCAGGGTTTAGGGTTTAGGGAGAAAGGTCTAGCCTTAAACCCTAAACCCTAGGGTTTTGTTCAGGGCCCTCTCCGGCTCTAGACAGTTAAGCCACAACTGTAGACCTTGTATGGGGCCCATGGCATGGATGGGGATTTCCCAAAATTATTGGTACCTTTGTTGGGGGTCCCTATAGTCAGGTTCATAGTATTTTGGGGATCTATATTTTGGTCGCCCTTTTGTGGGAAAGCCCTAAGTTCTATAAACCCTGAACCCCAAGCCCTAAACCCTAAACCCAGCGTATGACCCGAAGCCAGCAGACCAAAGCTTAAACTGGGTTGCTGTCAAAGAACCTAATTTAAGTTACTATCTTGGGGAAACCCTATCAGTTACTATGTATGCAACTTGTATGCAACCCATTATCGTGACTCAACTTAAGTTCCTTAAATCACTTTATTCCCCCCAGTTTCCATGGTGTTTTCCATGCCTTTCCATCTGACTCTCCAGTATAGGGATATACCTTGGTAACTCTAAGTTCCTTAACCGCAACCCCCACTTTGCAGGCGACTGTGCGCCCAGTGGCCCTGGAGGCCGGAGATTGTCTTGGAGTCGGAAGAATGGTAGTAGGGTTTAGGGTTTAGGGATGATACAGTATGATAGAAGTGAGATTGCATCTTAAGTAATGGGAGTAGCCGCAACAGCACATGATAGCAATAGCAAGTGTCATGGCCATAGCGCTGGGAATAGTACGACGTTCTGCGCTGCTGCAACCCTCTTTTGCCCAAGTCATTCTATTTTGAGTTTAGGGTTCAGGGCTTTTGATACAATTAGCGTTTCGCAATATGCCCAACCTAAACCCTTAAACCCTTAACCCCTAAGCCTCTGAACCCCTAAACCCTTAAACCCTAACGCCTAAACCCTTCACCCCTAAATCCCTAAACCCTAAATCCCTAAATCCCTAAACCCTAAATCCCTAAAACCTAAACCTTTTGGTCCCTCTATGAAGGCCTTGCAGTCGTCTGACTGGAGCAACTGCGAGCCCCGGGCCTGGGTGGGTAGATTTGCTTTTTTAGGATTTAGGGTTTAGGGTTTAGGGTTTAAGGTTTAGGGTTTAGGGCTTGAGGTGTTGGGTTTTTGGTGCAGGGTTTTAGGGTTTCAGGTTTAGGGTTTAGGGTTTAAGGTTTAGGG